ACTCCATCCTGCCTTCTCAATAGCTCTATGATCGTTTTGTTGGAATGGAGATCTGAATAGGATAAGCTTGATTTCATTCAAGGTTAGTCGATACAGGAGAGAGATTTCACTTTTGAAACTCATGGAGATTTCTGATTGATCACCTACCTACTTCCCCCGCACGCATTTCTCCGTCGTATATTTGCTCGAGACGAGCACTGGGTTTTGCTTCTTCTGCATTCTCTGGTGATTGAACAGGTGATGGACGCACTATGGATGTAAAAGGAGCATAATCGAGGACTTCGGAGCATACGGGACCGGAACAGAACGATCAAGACATTTCTAGCTCGAGTTGCGCCTGAACACGGCCGAGTCGAGTTTAAACACGGTCGTGCAAAAGCGAGGAAACGAAGACATTCTTACAGACAATTGACACGGACCGTGTCGAGTCAAACACGGCCGTGTCGAGACGCAACTCGCCCGTGTCCAGCCCATGCAGAAGCGCGTAGTTTTTAACAGACATTTGACACGGACCGTGTTCACTGCAACACGGCCGTGTTCCGTTTCGAGTAAACTTCCTATTTTGCATCCGAACTTCCGTTTTCAGAATGGGAAGAAGTCCAGCTGCCAAGCAAATAAATAGGAGATGTCTTGGGCTTCAGAAATCATCGAGAGATCATAGCAGAAGCCAGAGAACTTGAGAGAGAATCAAGACGGAGTTTCCTGGGAGCAGAGATTGAAGAACCGTCGTTGAGAGATCGCTGCGAGTTTCTTCTTTATCTGTTTCTATGTTTCTTCTTATTGATTTGAACTCGTTCGTTTGTTGAACTATGGAGTAGTCGTTTCACTGTAGCTAGGGATTTAACCTTGTAGGGATTTGTTTGGTTTTTATTTTCCGAGACTACGTTATCGATACTCGGCGGTTTAATTGAATTGAGTTTATTGCTTTTGATCTTCTTGGCCTGTTGATTGATTGATCTTAGATTCTGATTTACAACGAGAGTTGGAATTAGATTTGGAAAGAATTCATTGAATGAATTGATTAAGACTATTGAGAGATAGGTTAATCGGTTTAGGAACTGTGATAGTGATCGTTAATGCGTTTGATATTTTAATCTATTAGGTTGAGAGATCGATAGGTTAAATTATTGGATAGTAAGATCAAATCTGTATCATCAAGCGGTGCCATCGAACTATGGGATCATTCCGGAAGCTCATTCAAAACTAACGCTCAACGTCTGAAGCTCTACAACCCCGCTTTTCCATCGGACGCGAGAGGAGCCATCGCCCTCTCTGATCCCACAGAGAAATGAACCCTTGCCAGGTCCTGCTAACGACCTAAAACAAGCGCTTGTCGGGAGGCAACCCGATCCCGTATCCTTACTATATATTAGTTTCGGTTTATTATTCTCTTTCTTCTCTATTTATTCTCTCTACCCGCTCATTGCTATTTCTTCTCTCGTGGTCAATTCTGGCTATTTCAGGTCTCACGGATCACCGGACTATTCATCTTTCTTTTTGGCCGGAATTCAGCACGGCCCATGTTGCCCGTAACTCGGCCGTGTTCACTTATTTAGATTTTCACAGAGATTCTGCACGACCCGTGTTGATTTGAACACGGCCGTGTTCGTTTTTTTGCGAATTGTTGACAGAAAATTTGCACAACCCGTGTTCGACTTCAACACGGCCGTGTTCGCTTTTGCAAACTTTTGACAGAGGTTCTGCACGGCCCGTGTTGATTTGAACACGGCCGTGTTCGTTTTTTGCGAATTTTTGACAGAAAATTTGCACGGCCCGTGTTCGACTTCAACACGGCCGTGTTCGCTTTTGCAAACTTTTGACAGAGAATCTGCACGGCCCGTGCTCTACTTCAACACGGCCGTGTTCGTTTTGCGAACTTCTGAGAGACTTTGCACGGCCTGTGTTCTTCTTCAACACGGCCGTGTTCAACTGATTCGACGGATCGACACGGACCGTGCTCGATCTGCACGGACCGTGTTGTCATTTTTTCTGTTGGGGTTCCCTTCGGGTTCCTAGCATGCGATCTCATCGATCTAGGGTTTGGATTCTAGGTTTCACGCAGCGGAAGGAAAGATCTAAACCTAGCCAAACGTCACACAAAACCAATTGTGCAATAACCCGAACAATCGTGTATATCGTCGTGGGATTCGAATACTTACCTCGTTCTTTCAA